CCGCCCAATGGGCGGGTACCATCTGGAAAGACATTCCGATCCGAATCACAACATGACAGATATTATTATTCTATTTCATCCTTGAATCTTGAAATCTCTTTTATTCTTCAAACAGATATAATATTATATGTGTTTAATGACAAATAATAGGGCAAGAATTATATTTCAGTTCAGGTTATCTTCGTTGTTCTAATGTTCAAGATTGCATTCATTTAAAAATCAATGCTATGTATTCTTGCACTGGCTTTAAAAACATCAACATATCCATGTCTGTTTATAAAAAATATATTAAAGACCATTGTTGCTTTGTTCACTTTTAATCTTGATTGATTGAAACAAAGTTTTCTTTCTCTGTCACCTGATGAAAGCCATTTGAAATCAGTAAAATCTTGTAACTCAAAGTACCTTCTTTCCCTCCAGTAGTTTAAATGAATCAAAACAATACTTGACTTTGATCTTAACATGCTAAAATTGAATTACTCTTCAGTTTGAAACAAAATCAAAACCTGTAGTGTTACATAATAGCACCGTATACTCTGTAAAATATCTTTATTCTTTATTTAATTAGCCTGCATAATTTCACCATTTAAATTGTTAGAGCGCCCCCCCCCCCCCCCCCCCCTAAAAATAACAACATTTCATTGGCAGAGCAGGTTAATACCCAGGGGTTTGAAAATCAAGTCAAAGTCCCTGATTGGGCTAGGGTAGGTTACAATTCAGTGGTGCATAATAATAAATAAATAATAACTTACAGACAGTTTAATTATTTCATCTTATTTTATTGGGTTTCTACAGTTAAATTATAAGACATTACTGTTATTGACTCATCATTCAACTCTATGGTGTTCTTGGTGGACAGTTTAAAAAATAACTTAAGAGAGAATTTTGTCCCTTTTTTCCATTTTATTCCAAAATTTAGGTATAAAAGTTTTTATAACACTCTGCATAAAACAAAGTTGCTGCAATAAGCATAAAAATTGTTCCACAAATAAAGAAAAATATACTATAATTGCGTCATATATATCAACCAAAGTGATACATGTTACCTTAATTAAAGGGACTCCACTGAGGTTTTTTCACAGGACGAGACTGGACTGAAGATATATATTTCATTTGATGTACCAACATTTCAGATTATTTGCTCACTCTGTTTTTCCATAATGATTATTCTAATTGTGAACAAGTGCCACCCCTGAGCATGTGGCAAAGCTAAAAAAAATATTTTTCTTAAAGAAAACAAATAAATCTTTAAAAAGAAAATGAAAGGAAAAAAAATAAGTTTTTTCCTTTTTTATTTTAATAAGTCTGTCGTGTCACACTTGTTTTGTGCAAGTAAAACAATACACCAAGAACTTAAAGTTATGATCAACGTTAAAGTTTTGGGGACAGCAATGACTGTAACAATATCTTTTTTGTCTTTGAAAAAATCGAGCTTAAATGACCCAAAATTGAAAAGCGCTGCAATGCTTTTAATTCTAGTCGTGCTAACAGTAGCACATAAATACAATTTATTTCTGAACTATCTTTTGCATATCTCTCAGTTTTAATAAAGTGCCTCAGCTGATCTAGGTAAGAAATTAAAATTTCATGTTTTTAGGCTTTTGGACCTCAGTGGAGTTCCTTTAAAATACAATTATAAGACATGGGTCTTGTAATTAGAAAACCTTAAAAAGTTCCATTTGGAAATATTTTACTTTTTTAACTTGCAATAAATTGTTTACATGATTTATGAAATGCCATTATTAGCACATTTATTAATATAAACCAGATTTCATTTTAAATAGTACTGTTTCTATATTATATACCTTTTAATTCTAAAAGAAATATGCAAATAAGGCAATAATTCAACTTAATGGAAAACCTTTGAAACTAATACATTCAAATACAAGAACAAAATACAGACAAGTTTCACATATAACATACAATGAATCATATTTAAATTGTTAAGCCAATTAAACAGAAAGGGGTTATGACACTAAATTCTAATAAATAGCACAATTTGACAAAAAGAAAGAAAAGAAAGCATAAACACAACTTCTCTCTTCATGATGTGTTTCCATCTTCAAAGACAATTTGAGCCGTGTCACGACAAAACCAACATAGTGTGTTTGCAACCAGCATGGATCCAGACCAGCCTGCTCATCCACTCTATCGCTACAGTTCGCTATCAGTTTCTCTATTTGTAATAGGGTTTGTAAGCGAACAGCATGGATCCTGATCAGCCTGCGCAGATGTGCAGGCTGGTCTGGATCCATGCTTGTCGCACATACTGGATCCATGCTGGTCGCACACCTATTATGTTGGTTTTGTCGTGACACGGCTCATTTGCAATCAGTTAACATAACAACTAATTTACATCCATATCCAGGTAGGACAGTTTTTTGTTTTTTATTTCATTACTCTTAATTTCAAATTATCTTATTGACATGAAGTTAAAAGTTTTAAAAAAAATCTCAGATGGTAAAAAACAGAAACCAAGGTTTTGCAACCATAATTGTATAACTAATGTTGTATAATTAATTTAATTAACACAGTCAAAACATTTTACAAACAAACATTTCTAATATAACAATAACACAAACTACTCATAAATAAAGTTTAAACCTGAACTGATAACACATTATGCTAAAAAACATTATGTTAAAATACAAAAATAAAGATTTGTTAAGGCCACTCAAATTTATTTGTAATATAAATATAATAATAAAGAGAGAAACGGAATCCCTGAAGAACGTAAAAAATGATAAAATTAAACAAGAGGGCCATGATGGCCCTGAGGTCGCTCACCTGTATATAGCCCCCCCCCACCCCCGGACCAATTTTTACCCAAGGGCTTTTATTTGTTTATTTGAACAGACTTGGAAGACACCCATAAGAAGATGTTTCATGCTAAACATCTAAGTTCTAGCTCATTGGGTTTTTTAAAAGAAGATTTTTAAAGTTTTTACTATACACATATAGTTAAAAACAATGACACCCCTGGGGCAGGGCCAGTTTTGACCCCCGGGCTTTTATTTGAACAAACTTTGTAGATATTTACTTAAAGATGTTCATGGTTAATATCTAAACTCTAGCTATTTGGGTTTTTTTCAAAGAAGATTTTTAAGCTTTTGCTATACACATATAAGGAAAATCAATGACCCCCCGGGCGGGCCAGTTTTGACCCCAGGGCTTTTATTTGAACATACTTGGTAGACACCCATTAAAACATGTTTCATGCTAAATATCTTAGCTCTAGCTCTTTGAGTTCTTTAAAAAAAGATTTTTTAAGTTTTTACTATATGCATATAGGGAAAATCAATGACCCCCTGGGGCGGGGTCAATTTTGACCCCAGGGCTTTTATTTGAACAAACTTGGTAGACATTCACTAGAAGATGTTTCATGCCAAATATCTAAGCTCTAGCTCTTATGGTTATTTAAAAGAAGATTTTTTAAGTTTTTACTATATGCATATAGGGAAAATCAATGACCCCCCAGGGGGGGGCCAATTTTGACCCCAGGGCTTTAATTTGAACAAACTTGGTAGACACTCACTAGAAGATGTTTCATGCCAAATATCTAAGCTCTAGCTCTTATGGTTATTTAAAAGAAGATTTTTTAAGTTTTTACTATATGCATATAGGGAAAATCAATGACCCCCCAGGGGGGGGCCAATTTTGACCCCAGGGCTTTAATTTGAACAAACTTGGTAGACACTCACTAGAAGATGTTTCATGCCAAATATCTAAGCTCTAGCTCTTACGGTTCTTTAAAAGAAGATTTTTTAAGGTTTTACTATATGCATATAGGGAAAATCAATGACCCCCCGGGACGGGGCCAATTTTGACCCCAGGGCTTTTATTTGAACAAACTTGGTAGACACTCACTAGAAGATGTTTCATGCCAAATATCTTAGCTCTAGCTCTAAGGGTTCTTTAAAAGAAGATTTTTTAAGTTTTTACTATATGCATATAGGGAAAATCAATGACCCCCTGGGGCGGGGCCAATTTTGACCCCAGGGCTTTTATTTGAACAAACTTGGTAGACACTCACTAGAAGATGTTTCATGCCAAATATCTAAGCTCTAGCTCTTAGGGTTGTTTAAAAGAAGATATTTAAAGATTTTTCTTTCGGTTGCCATGGCAACCAGAGTTCTGCATGGAATTAAATTCTTTGAACAATTTTTAAAGGTGACCATCAAAGGAACATTCCTGTGAAGTTTAGATGAAATTGGCTCAGTGGTTTATGAGGAGATGTCATTTAAAGCAAAAGTTTACGGACGGACGACGGACGGACGGACGCCGGACGAAAAGCGATCACAAAAGCTCACCCTGTCACTTTGTGACAGGTGAGCTAAAAAGTTGCCAGCTTGTGCTTATGGATGGTTGAAATATTGCATGCTACTGTCCATGCCCTCTTAGCACCAGCTTAAGCAGAATTCAGCATTTAAAGTGAAATGGTAAAATTTTGAATTTAGAAACATTAGAAGACTTGTTTATACAGCAATTATCACGGTACATTTCGATGTGACATATATTGCTTTTCTGAATGCAGAAGAAATTTTGATACACTTTCTTCTCATTAAAGTATCATTGTTAGTTTCTAACAATTATTTTATCTCAAACATGTTAAAACCAAATATTATGATAGCAAATGCAAAAATCTGGTAATAAAATTTCACTTTTAAATTATAGTTATAACAATTATTAAACCTCAAAATGATGACAAATTTCCAGCACAGTTGCAAGAGACAATTTTAACCTTTGCCACTCTCAATATCTTTAATGGACATGTCCATTTCTTAATCTGGATGAAACCATTCATTTTATTTAGTAGAAATTTCAAAACATGTACTGACTAATAGCAAATTAACAGTGCAGACCAAGATCAGACGGCAAGGCTGTGTCTGTTGATCTTGGTCATCACTAGTCACATTGGTAGAATCTGTTGTCACACGTAGTTTAAGTGGTAATATAAACTTGGTAATAACAACATTATTCTTTACCATAAAAAAATTCTGGAAGCACTGACAAACAACTATTTGATTTGGTCTGGCCTTCTGTTATTATAATCAAAGCAAGTCAGACTTATGAACATTATCTTTCACAAGGAATCATATAATTTTGTTTAGCCTTAACAAATGGTTTAAAACTATATAATGGAGTTACCTCGGTGACTGGCTCATTGAACGCTGAATTGTTGGAGAAAGTCAATTCATGATCTTGCATGCAGTCTAAATCATCTTCAAATGAAAAACTAACTTCTTTCCTCTTTTTCAGGGAGTCGACTTTATCATATGGACGTGTCATGATCACACCATTGGCCGTATTGTCTCGAATCTCAGTCATGTTATTAGGAAGCTTGTTTATTTGAATATTCTGAGTTTTCAATCTATCTCTATCAAACTTTCTTATGACACATATCACGATTATTATTGCCAACGATAAAAAGAACGTTAAGAAAATAACCACCACTACTATAATGATATTAGTGTTTGGACCAGAACTAACCGGTGTGTTGTTACACTGATAGTCACGTTACTGTATCTAATTAAAAATATTTAATTCACATCTTTCGGACCTTTGCGGTATTCCGCCATCGTGCACGGCTATCACCAATCTGAAATTCTCCTCAGTGTTTTCTTCTAGCTTCATATGGTGGGCCATCGAAAGAATTCCAGATTTCAGATTTAACAAAAAATAAATCTATCTACGTTTCCATCTTCAATTTCACATACGACAGTTTACTATTAATTCCTTCATCAAGATCGTAAGCTTCTATTTGTGTTATAAAAGTTCGCTTGGTTTTAAATGGTCAATAACAATAGTGTCATTGACGTCTTTTTTTTAGGGAAGACAATTTTTCGGGATTCATCATTAACGTCAGAAACTTTTATAATTACTTTAGCACTACTTGTTCTTTTTGGAATTCCTTTATCTATAGCAATAACAAGAAAATTCATATGAGCTTTTAGCTTCTCTATCTAATTCCATTGTGGTTTTTATAACTCCATCAGGAAACAGTAAAAATGGAAGTTTTGTTTCTTTTGTATTCGAGATTGCATATGTAAACATTCCATTTTCATCAGCGTCGTAATCCTTCGCTGTCAACCTATCGGCTACACTACCTGATGGAAGATTTTCTTGAACATAAAAGATAAAAGTTGTATTTGTAAACTTTGGAGCATTGTCATTTTCATCTTTAATTCTAACATTAACAGTGGCATTTCCAGTTAGACGTGGATTTCCAAAATCTCTGGCGAAAACTTTAAATGTCCAGATACTTCTTTCTTCACGATCAAAAGGGACCAAAGCTCTAATAGTCCCGGTGCTTGAATCAATTGTGAAATAATCCTTCATCATTGGATCTAAATAATATTCAATTTTAGAATTATTTGTATTACTTTTGTCATCATCTGTTGCTCTCACAGAAATTACTAAATCACCTCTCTCATTGTTTTCATAGAAATCTTCAAAATAATTTTTCTTTGTAAACTTTGGTACCATATCATTTTCGTCAGTTACACGCACAAGAAAACTATCGGAAGAACTAAGAACAGGACTACCTTTGTCTTCACATGTGACAACAACAGTATGTAGATCTTGTTTTTCACTATCCAATGTTTTAGCAACAACAACTTTATATCCTTTATTTGATAATGGTTCAAGAGCGAAAAAGGCATCATCAACAGAACAACTAACATCACCATTTTGTCCGGTGTCTTTATCTTTTACTTCAACATGGGCAACAAAAGTTCCTTTTGAGGAGAATTCAGATACGTTAACCATACGTCCAGTGCCACTAGATATAAGGTTAATTTGCACAGTTGGTGGATTGTTTCCTGTATCTTTGATATAAACGGTGACCTCCGCCTGATTGGTGGACGGTAATGATGGTTTACCTCTATCTACGGCTTCAACAATTATTTTGTAAACTTTTTTGGGGTCATACACTAACTGACCGATTATACTTAGTACTCCAGTGTGTTCATTTATATAAAAGAGAGATTTAATTTCTTCGAGATCTGATTGCCGTGGACTAAGACGGTAAAGTAACCAACTGTTTTCATTAATATCCTTGTCCGTGGCACTGATCTGCAGGATACCAGAGCCATCACGGGTATCTTCCTTTACTGTAACATATAGGAAGTGTTGCAGCAAAAACGGAGATTTCATTTTGTCTGAACGATTTATCTTTATTCCATACGTACCAACTCTTTGAGAATTACGCCTCTTTAGCAATTATCGGACATTATATAAAGACTTTCTTTCTCTATCTTAATCTTACAGATAACAAGAAGTTTTACTGAGAAACTCTCATCAAGTTTACGTTCAACACGCAAGTCAAAAACATTTTTGTCTCCAACAAATTCATAATACTGTATAGAATTATTTGCACCTTTGTCATGATCTACTGCATTTTCAATCATATATGATGAACCTTTGGCTGCCGCCTCTGATATAGCTATAGCCTGCGTATTGTGGGGAAACGTCGGGGAATTATCATTCAAATCATTAATTACAACTTTCACAGAAATAATCTCAAATTAATATAACATATGCTTTACTTTTGAAGTTGCTGCATATCAGAATCTTAAGAGTTCGATTTTTCTGAACTTGGTCGATTCCTGGGAGTTAGATTCCTGTCGGGCCTTACACAGTGTGAAAAAGTGGGAAACCAGTCCTCTATTCATTGGCAATGCTAAGTATAGTAAATTATCATGTCTGCTCCAAAAAATGGAATTTAGGTAGAACTTCCCTTCGAATCATGCGGCAGGACAGAGTTTACAAATCCTGGTGCATCTGATACATTCCCAACAAACATTAACCTTGGCAGTTCTTCATTTATGGTGAAAGTTATTTTATAATCTTGACCATTAATCAAATTGATTACCCCTAAAATCATAATTGATATGACTTGAGATTTCCTTCTATTACCAGACGCCATTTCTAGAGTTTGTCTACCTCATCCAAATCATAGTATAGAGCATTCCTGAAAATAGAAAATAAAATATACACTATAATTATGACTATTTCGTGCAATGTAAAAAATCTGGAAAAGGGGAGAAGATCCTTCAAAAGCAATAAAACAAAGTTTAGAAATGAAAAATTGAAGACCCGGTGTGACTGAGTTTGTTCATGAGATATGACAGAAAGAGCAATATCTCTCAAGACTCCTACCACCCGCTTCCAACAGTGTTCAATCTTCGACATTATAAAGTACATGTATTCATACGATCCTGAAGGACTAGAAAAGTGAATTACGAAAGACAAAAGAGCATACATCTAACATTCAAACATACACTAACTAACATACACTGACTAAAATGTTTGATATTCACATAATTTCCATGCTCATGTGAACACAGGAAATGATGTCAGTTGAGTGTGAAACCAACAGAAATGAAAGATTGACCATGTATTAATTTTTTCCACCTTCTTTGTGAGGTGTCCAATTTTAGTGAATCATTTTTCTTTTCTGTACATTTTTAAAGACCACAATCATAAAGTGATTCACTCACACACATATTCTACAACACAGACTGTTGTACCATACAATGAGGCAAAATTATATCAACTCTAACTGATGCCTCAGCCAGCAAACTGCATCTACCCATGCCACCAGTGCTGACCATGATCACATGGTCTGCAGTGACGCCACTTTACATCATACAATCCAGCAATTTTCTTTGTGATATATGTTTCACTAAACTTGAATATGATTTACATATGTTACCAGTAATCCATCATCATAGTTTCTCTGTTGAATTATATTAGTTATGTTTCTGTCTCTTAAACAGTTATATTATTTCCAATAATTTCTATAAGAGTACATGTCCTGTACTCACATCGTTCTATTACAATTCAAGAAAGCTTAGCGCTGAAGTGTGTAATATGGTTGTATACCAATTAACATATTTGCACTTCGACATTGGAGAGAATGGTTTTTCTCGAGATTGAAAAGCACGGACAAGGTCAATTTAGATATTCATGCAGGTTACGGGATAGGAACGATTATTTTCATTTTATTTTTAATTATTTCTCATTTTGCTGCCCAACTACTCAAATAAGAAAACTTACTCATTGCTGATAACAAACTCAATTTCCTGTCCTCATAAAGTCATGAAATTTTATTATTATTACCAAAAACAATGTTAAAGCTTTACACACACTTTCCCCATGGGAAAGAGGAATATAAAAAGTAGATTATTCATAACTTGTATTAGCAGTAAATTCATAAAAAAATTTTAGCAGCGGCCATACATGATGACAAGGTGCGGGGAATATTCCTCAGGATAGTCCTTTAGGCAGCAACAAAATTCACTCTTCCGGCAATAGTGATCTTATACCTCATCAAAGAATGAGACAATTAAAGAGAAGAAAAGAAACATTAGTATAACCAATCGTTCGTCCAAAAGTGATTCCTGACGCGGAACTAAGGCAAGTTCCCAAGGATAATTTATTTTATTCAATGTATACAAAACTATCTTTTGCTGTTTGCACTGACGTTATCAATTTACATTTAACAGCTTAAAATGGGGATTGGAATGCTCTGTGGAATTCACCGAATGTACAGAAAGTGTATTTCACTATTTCCCGAAACTTAAGTGATTTAACGCACATTTACAGTTTTGAAAATTTATTATTCCCCAACGTATTCTTTTAGTCAGATACGACATAAGTTAAAGTCTTCGGAGGTTAATAACACGTAAAATTAAAGAGACAATTAGATGAAGTCACAAAAAATTACGACAGTCTCATTCAATAACATCACAGTTCAGGTGATGTAACAGTACATTAATAATTGATGCAATTTAATGGCCAAAAAATTATTCATCGTTTTGTTAAGAAGTTTTGCAGGCGCAGCTATTCCCTTACGTTAACAGAACAAAATACAATTTAATTATTATATTTCATACATCTATAAGTTAGTTGAAATAAATTCTTTTTTAGCTCAGTTTTGAAGAAAAACTTTGAGATCCAAATAAGGTCACAAGTTCTTCTCTAGACTAACCAGTACTGACATCACAATCATGGGGGAAACATGATTAAGAACAACGAAGGGCTCACACAGTTCCTAGGTTAAAAGGGATGTTACTTAACCCCTTACCACCTTAAATATCTTAAATGGACTTGTTTTGTTTTTTCAATTAGAACAAAACCACTATCATCATTTTTAGGGAAAATGTCAGAAAATGAACTGAGTGACTGAACATTGAACAGTGGTGACATTGAACAGTGGTGACATTGACCAGTACTGACATTGAACAGTGCTGACATTGAACAGTGCTGACATTGAACAGTGATGACATTGATCAGTGCTGACGTTGATCAGTGCTGACATTGATCAGTGCTGACATTGAACAGTGCTGACATTGATCAGTGCTGACATTGAACAGTGCTGACATTGAACAGTTGCTGACATTGATCAGTGCTGACATTGGAACAGTGCTGACGTTGAACAGTGGCCTGACATTGAACAGTGCTGACGTTGAACAGTGCTGACGTTGAAACAGTGCTGACATTGAACAGTGATGACATTGAACAGTGCTGACGTTATCAGTGCTGACATTGATCAGTGATGACATTGATCAGTTGCTGAACAGTATGACGTTGAACAGTGCTGACATTGAACAGTTGATGACATTGATCAGTGCTGACGTTGATCAGTGCTGACATTGATCAGTGCTGACATTGAAACAGTGCTGACATTGATCAGTGATGACATTGATTCAGTGATGACATTGATCAGTGGCTGACGATTTGATCAGTGATGACATTGATCAGTGCTGACATTGAACAGTGCTGACGGTTTGAAGATCAGTGCTGACATTGAACAGTGCTGACATTGATCAGTGCTGACATTGAACAGTGCTGACATTGAACACTGCTGACAATTTGAACAGTGCTGACAATTTGAACAGTGGTGAGGCATGGTAGAATAAGTTGCCCCAGCAGGAAATTCATCTTCTTTCATAATGATATGTTATAAAAATATTGTCAGCCGCATTTATTCAAGACGTTTGGAAAAATAACAGAACAAAAAAATTTCAATTTGGCCTATAATATGATAACAACAACAACAATAATAACAACAATAACAATAATAATAATAATAATAATCATAATAACAACAACAACAATAATAATAATAATAATAGATCTAATAAAAAATAATAATAATTACAGCCTTGGTTGTATGCTTGATTGTACATAGTAAAAAGTAAACCACTGTCAGTCACTACTAAACCCTCAAAGAAAAGAACAAAAAAAATTTCAATATTTAAATTTAAAACTTAAGAAAATCAAAGTCTAAGTTATTGTTTTTCGTTGTCCTGTCTGTTACACTGTCAGACAAACATGTCAGTAGGATGGTACAGACAAGTTTATCACTTTTAAATTTGAAGATTTATTGTTTTTTGAAGAAACATTTAAACATTGAATTACAATTATAAGAAAACAAGAGCTGATAGTCAGACATCATGGTTCACTATTATCTCTTACAGCCAGACAGAGAAAATCCAGGATTTTTTCTTTACAAGATTTTTTTCCTTAAAGGCCCATTATGCTTCAGAAATGCTTTTAATTTTATTTCTCAAAAGTTTTTTAATTTTGGTGTACTTTTTTAGTATACAAAAAATTACTCATTGGCCAATTACCTGAACCATCTTATTCATTTGTTGCTTTTTGGTAATATGAACATCAATAGTAAATAAGTATTTTGTATAGAAGTCCTAATACCACTTTGGTTATAGTTTGCTACTTTAATAACAAATTATTTCACATTTATTGCTACTTTCTTCAGTTAACAAGGATCTAACAATTTCTCTTAAACCACTATTTTAACATTATAAAATGTTTGCCCTTTCTATAGAAGTAAAAAATTATTTGTTTCTGAGGCATAATGTGCCTTTAAGAATTCACTAAAGGGGAGTAATTCAAAAAATATTTTAGCAACTCCAAATCAAGCAGAAAAGCCCTATTTCATTCAATATTTTATTGGGTAAAAGAGGTGTTCAAAACTGTACAAATAAAAATCAAACAAAACCTTAAGTACGAGTCTGGTTCATGATGAAATGGACCATTTTATTGCTAAATTTGGTAACTGGGAAACGCCACAAATACATTTCATACACAATCATAACAACTTTATGTTTTCTGGAAATTTTAATCAAATCTACATGGCATAGCATTCTCTGAATTTCTATATTTGGTGTAGTTTACAAAATATATAAAAAGTGATAACCCTTTACCTTAGATGACACCTGACTTTAGTGACATGCACTAGCTGGGAAGTAGCGATAGAGCAATTTACCGTTGTAACCTCCAAGAAAGAGGTAGCTCTATCATTTACCAGGCGTGAATTATGTCCTCTAAAAGTAACTAAACTTTACTACTTTTGTTACTAAAGATAAATATAACCAGAATCCCAAAATTTTAAACATTAAAAGCATTTTATCCTAACTTATTGGAATTACATAATTCCTATACATAAAAGTTAAAGACTCATACCTGTAGATTAATTATCTCCCTTTATGATGAGTTT